GATAATAATAAGAAAAAAAGTCAATAACATTGAAAAAAAGAAAAATAGCCAATTTTTAAATTCTGGTTATTTGAAGAGATAGATAAAAGTAATAAACCTCTAGTAAGACTGACAAAGAAAAAAGAGAAAAGATGCAAATGACCAGGAATGAGAAAGTGTGTATCATTACAGACCCTGCAGACATTATGGGCATATTACAAGCAACTCTACACACATAAATTTAACAATTTAGATGAAATGGACCAATTCCTCAAAAAACACAAAGTACCACAACTCACCCAATATTAAATAGATAATTTAATTTTAATAGATATTAAATAGATCATTTGAATCGCCTTATAACTATTAAAGAAATTGAATCTGTAATTTATAAACTTCCAAAAAATAAATACTCGGTTCCAGATGCTTTCACTAGAGAATTCTAATAAACATTTAAAGAAGTAACATCATTTATATACAAGCTAATCTAGATAACATTCATTTTATGACAGTAGTATTACCCAGATACAAAATCAGACAAAGACAGTACCAAAAAAGAAAAAGAAAAAAGAAAACTAGAGACTGATATCCTTTATGAATATAGACACAAAAAATCTTAACAAAATATTAGCAAATAGAATTCAGCAACATATTTAAAAATTCTATACCAGGACCAATTGGGGATTTATTCCAGGGATGCATGACTGGAAAAAACTATTAGTGTGATTCTCCAGGCTAAAGAAGAAACAGCACATGAACCTATCAGTTCATGCAAAAAACCCCAAACACACACACACACACATTTGACAAAATGCAACACCCATTCATGATAAAAAAAAATCTCAGAAAAATAAGAACAGAACTTTCTCAACTTGACATAGAGCATCTATAAAAAAAACCAACACATAAAAATCTAAAACTAACATTACTCTTAATGTTGTAAGACTGAATTCTTTCCTCTCAGATCAGGAACAAGGTCAAGAATGTCTGCACTCAACACTCTTATTCAATATAGTGCTAAACTTTCTAGCTAGTGCAAAAGATAAGAAAAATGAATTAAAAGAAGAGAGGCAAGAAAGGAAGAAATCAAACCATTCCTATTTGGTGACATGATTACTTATATAGAAAATCCAAGGAACTTAAAGAAGACACTCACTACATGAATAAGTGAGTTTTAAAAAGTAATAGGATACAAGATAAACATGCACAAATTAATCATATTCCTATATAATAGTAATAAAAGACTAAGCACTAAAATTAAAAATATAATACCATTTACTTCCACTCAAAAAAAGTAAATGCTTAGGTATAAGTTTAATTAAGCATATATAGGACGTGATGATAAAAGCCACATGATACTGATGGAAGAGCTAAATAAATTAATATATCATTTTCATGGACTGGAAGACTCATCACAGCAAAGATTTCACTTCCCCCTAAACTGATATACAGGTTTAACACAATTGCTATCAAAATTCCAGCAAGAGTTTTTTGTAGTTAAAGGCAAAATTAGTCTAAATTTATATGGAAAGGCAAAGAAATCTGCATAGAGCAATTAAGTGGGAAGAATTAACTTACCCAATTTCAAGATTTATTATGTTGCTACATTAATCAAGACCGTGACACTGGAAAGGGATAGACACATATGTCAGTGGACTAGAACAGGGACCCCAGAAGCTGACCCACACCCAGATTTCTGACTCATTTTTGACAGAGATGCAAAACGAAGCCCACGGAGGAGGCAGCCTTTCCAACACAGGACGTTGGAGCAATTGGACATCCACAGGCAAGACAATGAAGCTTGACCGGAGTCTTACTTCTTATACAAAAATTAACTGAAAGTATGTCATGAACTTAAACATGAAACATAAAGCCATAAAACTTTTATGAAGAGAGCAGAAAATCCTCAGGATCTAGGGCTAGGCAAAGCCTTTTTAGCATTATTCCAAAAGCATTATCCATCAAAGGGGGGAAAAAAAAGATAAACTGGACTTTATCAAAATTGAAAACTTCACCCAATCAAAAAATTTATAAAAATGGAAGACTTTAGGAAGATGAAAAGACAAGCTACAGACTCGGAGAAAATAATTGCACACCATATATCCAATAGAAGACTAGTATTAAGAATATAAACCTTCAAAACTCTACAGTAGAAAAGTAAATCCAGTTAGAAGATGGACCAAAGGCATGAATAACCATATCCTGGGAGAGAACACTACGGATATCAAATAAGCACACGAGATGATATTTGACATAATTAATTATTAGAGAACGACAGAATGGCCAACAGGAAAACCAGCGACGCCACCAAACTGGCAAGGATGCGATCGGACCGTCTCTCAAGCATTGCTGGTGGGCATGTAAAATGGTGCAGCCATTCTGCAAAACAGTTTGGCAAGTTTTTGAAGAAATCTTAACATACTACTTCCATACTACCCAGCAATTGCACTCCTGGGCATCTGTCCCAGAGAAAAGAAAACGTATGTTCACATGAAAATCGGTATATGAATGTTTATAACAGCTTTATTCCTAATAACCCCAAACTGGAACCATCCCAGTGTCCTTTACTGAGTGAATGGTTACACTATTCATACCATAGAACACTACTCAGCAACAAAAATAAACAGACTATTGACACACATGCCAACCTGGATGACTGTCCAGATACTTAAATTGAATGTATGATTTCATTTATATAATACTCTTGAAATGACAAAATGATAGAAATTGTAAATAGATGAGTGGTTTTCAGGTTTTTTTAAAATTTTACTTTCAATTGCAGTTTGCTTTCAATATTATTTTGTATGAGTTTCAGGTGTACAGCATGGTGGTTAGACAATTATATACTTTACAAAGTGTTCCCCCCAGTATCTCTAGTACCCACTTTAGCACCATACATAGTTATCTCAGCATTATTGACTGTATTCCCTATGCTGTACGTTACATCCCCGTGACTGTTTTGTAACAGCCTATTCGTACTTCTGTATCCCTTCACTTTTTTCATCCAGTCCCCCAGTAAGGAGGAGGTGGGGTGGGAGGGATATGAGTATGGCTATAAAAAGGCAACACGAGGGATTCTTATGGTGACGGAAATGTTCCCTATCGTGACCCTGTCAATTTCATGGTCTTGGTCTTGACGTGGTTTGCAAGGTGTCGCCTTTCAGGGAAAGAGGATGAAGAGTACACGGGATCTAATTTCTCATAACTGCACGTGAATCTACAGTTATCTACGGTAAAATGCTTTATAAAGAGTAGAACCCTCTCATGGATTTCAGATGAAAATCAAGGTCTTCCCTTGGCTCTTCCCCACCTCATTCATTTCCTACTTCTCTCCCGCGCCCATCCTGCTGCAGCAGCCACAGTGGTCTGCCTGCTGTTCCCGGTCGTGCTCAGCAAGCTCTCGCCACAGACCCTGGTGCAGCTGTGCCCCCTTATCCGTGGGAGACACATTCCAAGACCCCAAATGGATGCCTGACACTGCGGATAGTACCGAACCCTGTATACGCTATGTTTTTGCCTATATATGCATATCAAGGAGAAAGTTTAATTAACAAATAATTAGGCACGGGAAGAGATTAACAACAAAAACTACTGACAAACTAGAACAGTTCTAACAGCGTACTGAAACCAAAGTCATGCGACTATGCTCTCTCTCGAAACATCTTCTCGTACTGGACTCACGCTCCTTGTGATGATGCAAGATGATACAGTGCCCACGTGGTGAGATCGAGTCAGGCACTCGGACCGCATGGGAGTTCGAACTCATGGTTTCTTTCTGAAAATTGTTATTTAATATTTTTGGACTGGTGTAGAAACCCTGGACAGTGAAACCTGGGATGAGGGGCATCGCCGTACTTGCTATTCCCTCTGTGTGCAAAGCTCCTTCCTCTGGCTCTGCTAAATCACCGAGGTCTCTGCTGAAATGTCACTTTGAACACGCTACCCAGAGGAGCACCCCTGTCACTCTGTGCCGTTACCTGGATTTATTTTCCTTTTCTCATTAGAAACAGATTTAATATGTTTTAAAAGGTCACGTTCCTAGGATGGGAACCTTATATTTTCTGCGATTCCTCCTCTTTTCTATTTGTTCTGGGATTTAGAGCATTTGATTTCAAAAGCAGTGTGGAGTTTCCTCAAAACATTAAAAGTGGAACTGCCTTATGATTCAGTGATTCCACTTCTGGGAATGTATCCCAAGAAACACAAAATACTAATTTGAAAGAATATATGCACCCCTATGTTCATTGCAGTATTATTTACAATAGCCAAGACTTAGAAGCAGCCAAGTGCCCATTAATAGATAAATGGATAAAAAAGCTGTGGTACATTTACACAATAGAATATTACTTGGCCATAAAAAGGAAGGAAATCTTACCTTTTGAAACAGCGTGGCTGAATCTGGAGAGTATTATGCTAAGTGAAATAAGCTAGTCAGAGAAAGACAAGTAACATGTGATTTCACTTATATGTGGAATCTAATGAACAAAATAAACTAACAAACAAAATAGAAACAGACTCAAAGATACAGAGACAGACTGGCAGCTGTCAGTTGGGGGTTGGGGTGAAAAAGGTGCAGGGATTAAACAAAAATTAAAACAATAATTTCATAGACACAGACAACAGCATGGTGCTTACCAGAGATCGGATACAGGGCTGGAGGAGGTAGAAGAGGGTAAAGAGGGGATTAATGGTGATGAAGGAGGCTTGACTTTGGGTGGTGAGCACATGATGCAATATACAGATGATGGGTTATAGAATTGTACACCTGAAACCTATATAATTTTATTAACCAATGTCACCCCAATAAATTCAATAAAACTTTAAAAGATTAAACAAATAAACAAAAGAGGCCATCTAGGTGTAATTTAAGGGTTCTGTAGTACTATAGATGTTCTCTAGTCTGTCATGCTTATGACCGTACACTGGTATTTCCCCCAATAACTAAAGTTTGAAAGAGTCAGCATTGACTCCATAGGCCATGAATATGCCTCTAAATGACTTAACTCTTAATTCTCTTCTAGGTTTTTTAATCAGTCCACGGTATAAAGACATACTTCAGGAGGATCCTGAGACATCTTGGACAAGCCTCCCCACATGTGGCAGGTATGTCTCTGTTTAGACACTGAGTGTGCAAGAAATGTAACTTGATTCTTCTGTAGATAAATATAAATTATATTTAGATTCTCCCATTAACCATGTGGCAGCATTCTGAGATTGCATCTAAGCTCTAGGTGAGTTTATGGGGTACCAAGCTTTTGAGGGGTGTTGAGCCTGCTCCTTGGCTGACCGAATGGAGAAAGAAGTATGATTCAAGGAAATAAAATAAAATACTTCAGATACTGTACCCTATATGATAAACAAATATTGCTTGTTCTCCTTTGAGTACTACCATGTGATTTTATTTTTCTTTATTGATTTTTGAGAGAGAGAAAGGGAGAGGGAGAGAGAGAGAAAAATAGAAACATTGATGTGAGAGAGAACATTGATTGGCCACCTCCTGCATGCTTTTGGCCCACAACCTGGGCATGTGCCCTGAACTGGAATTGAACTGGCAACCTCTTGGTGCATGGGATGATGCTCAACCACTGGGTCACACCGGCTGGGCCCATGTGATTTTTAATCTTTACAATGGTCCTGAATCTTTTATATTAAGGATTTGACATTTGAGGAAACCAGGCGTATTAATTCACTAGAGCTGCCATAACAAAGCACCATAAATAGGCTGTCTTAAACAACAGGAATTTATTGCCTCATAGTTCTGGAAGGTGGGCGTCTGAATTCAAGGTGCCAACAGGGTTGATTCTTTCTGAGGGCTGTGTGAGCAGAATCTGTCCCAACTCTTCTTCCTGGCTGGTAGATGGCATTTCCTCCCTGAGTCTTTACATCGTCTTTGTTCTTTGAATGTCTGTCTCTATGTTCAAATCCCTCTTTTTTGTAAGAACACCAGTCCTGTTGGATTAGGTCCCACATTCATGGCCTCTTCTTAGCTAATTATATCTTCCATGACCCTATTTGTAAATATCCATTCTGAGATACTGGGTGTTAGGACTTCAACATGTGCATTTTGGGGAACACGGGTTAACCTATAGCACAGGGCTCAAAGAGGCTCACTGGCTTCAGCGTCACACAGACCTTGAAATGCCGGTGCCGGGATTCTGCACCATGACGGTGTGACTCCAGGGCTTGTGTTCTCTCTGCTGCACTACACTTCCTCTCCGGCAGCTCCTGAACGCAGGCCTGTGCGGCGAGGGGCATGCTGCCTTTCCGTCCACGAGCAAAGCAGGCTGGTGACGCAGGGGTCATTTAGGAAAGGAACTCTTACTTAGACCTAAGGGCGTACCATTGAATTGCCTCAGAATAACTCGCCTTACACACAGGAGAAACAGGAATATGTTTGAGGAGAGATCCAATCTAATACCATAGGCTAGAAAGTGACTTTATACCTGGATTAGACGTATAAATTGTGCCAGGATTCAAATAGGTCTGAAGCTACTAAAATGGTCCTGTGTCCTGTAGTTTGCATTTTGGGTGCTCTTGACTTGTATTAATATCTGAATATGCCATGTGTATGTGGTCTGCTTCATGCAGGGCGTATTTAAACAATGTGTACTAAAACAACATACTTAATGCATGCAAAGGAAAAAGGGAAAAAAATCTCTGCTATAAAGTTCCTGTAGACATTTACTAGATAATGATAGCTCTACTAAAAAAGGGTAAAATATGTTCAGCTTCAATGAGGATTGCATTTAGGAGAATTATCAGATTATTTTGGATATTTTCCTTTTTAAAACAATTTTTTTATTGCATCCCAGTGGGAGATAAGAATTATAATAGTGATTCGGAAAAGTGGCTTCGTGCATATGAACATAATTTGAGTCTTGTAGTATTTATCACTGTTTTATTCCAGATGGTAAAAAAAAAAAAAATGTCTATTGTTTTTTCAGTTAGTGCCTGAAATACATACCTGCAGAAATAAGTCTATTATAAATTTTTTCTTGCCAAAATTCCAATAGATGCTCACTTACCGAGAAATATGTGTACTGAGAAATATTTAAGAAAAATACACTTTAATGAAGTTGCACTAATGATATTTATTTAGCTAATTGTGTACAGGGATCTGAACATAATTTCAAATAGACGACTGGCCATGTAAATAAGCCTCTCACAGGTGTGCAGAGTTTTGAGAATTAGACAGCAGATCTAATGGAAATCAGAGTAAGCCTCAAAGCAATATTTTATTATAAATTAGATTTCCCATTATAAAACAAATATAGCCACATAACAAAAAATATTTTTAAATAAGGGTAAAACATTGCTAACAATACCACTAAGCAAAAGCAATACGAGTAACCTTTTGGTATATGTATTGCTCTGTTTTTATTCATTTGTTCAGTTGAGGATTATGAGCACTTACTTAATGCAGACATTTGGGAAATAAGGAGGGCTGGGACCCAGCTTCTGCCCTGACGGAGCTTTTTAAATTACCAGGGGAAACAATGAATGAGGCCTTATAATAGGTGATCATTGCAATACTGGAGGACTGTGACCAAAAAGCTTGCTATCAACTCTTGTAGGTCTGGGAGGGCCTACTCAGGTAAGTTGGGATGGAAACATGTGAAGAAATCTTTTAGCCAGAGAAGAAAATACATCTTATTTCAAGGAAAAAATATCTTCTAAGGTATGGGAGAATTGAAATAACATCATACAGGAGCTGTAAAGAATGCATCATGTCTGTAACAACAGAGAATGAGGTTGGAGATGTAGGAGGAGGCCATATCATGGAAGGATTAATGCCAGTTATCCTGTTGGCAAGAAGGTTTTCACATAGGGAAGGACTGACTGTGTTTAGAATTTTATTTTATTTTATTATTTTTTTTTAATCCTCACCCGAGGATTTTTTTTCTTTTTTCTTTTCATTTTTTGTTCACATAGAGTGGGAGGAAGAGAGAAGAGAGAGAGAGAGAAACATCAACGTGAAAGCGACACATCAAGTGGTTGCCACCCGCAGGACCAACCAGGGCCGGAGACAAACTGCAACCGAAGTACACGCCCTTAGCGGGAACCGAACCGGGGTCTCTCTGGACCGCAGGCCGATGCTCTAACTGCTGAGCAAAATGGCCAGGGCTAGAATTTTATTTTAGAAAATTTAATCTTTAGCAGTATGATTGGCTGGATGGCTTAGAAATCACAGACCTTAGGAACTAAGGGTTTGTTAAGGGTGTGTGTGTGTGTGTGTGGTATATAAAAGGTTACATAAATGATGCTTGGTTTGCATGAACCTCTAGCAGTATTTTGGTAGGGACTCTAAAATGTGTTCTCATGGTCATCTATTTTTATAAAATTTGCAAAAAGTGTGAGTGTTTAATCAGTTATGAGTACTTTCCCTTTCTACATTACTACACCTCTGTTATGTTTCTCTTAATGTTGTCATTGGCGACAGAGTTTGTATTTGCAATTTAACCTTCTTTTTCTTTACCAGGGCCCCAAAATTGCATAAACTCAGGACTCACTTTGCAGATCCATCCCCCAGATGATATTGCAGCAATTCAGAAGAGAAATGGCAGGTTCTTAAACCGAGATAGTAGCTGTAGAGATGAAAAAGAAAATGATACAGAAGACTAACAGGGGGGAATCACTGGCTATGCTATTGTGAGGGAAAGGATAGTTCCAAGATTTCTTGCTTCTATCGCTTGGGAAGTGGTAGAGCTGTTAACAGGAAAAAAAAAATGGTAGGGGCTGGTCACTGTGGTAAATATCAGTTTATTGAACATCTATATGTGTGTGTATGTTTCATATTTTTGAATTTTGCAGAAGTGGATTTAGTCTATCACAGTGCATATGTATTTTAATGGATCTTGTCATCTATAACCAAGGTCTTTACCAGATAGATTGTGCCATTCAAGACTGCCGCAATTAATGTATAAATGAGTTTTCTTGTCTATCCCCACTAGTATTGGGCATTATAATTTTCAAACAAAATTATTGGGTAAAATCAGTACCTCCTTTTCATTTATTACTCTGAAGTGAGATAAATACCATCCATTATTGTGAGCTCTTCATAGGAGCCTGTTTTCAGGGGGTGGTCATTGTGGTCTTTTCTTGGTAGTGATTTAGGAAGCACTAGAAGGTAGTTGCAAATCTTTTATGTAAGTAGTTATGTTACATATTCCAAATGCATGCATACATACATACATTACAAAAGCTAGAAATAGGTGGGGCTAAAACAGTTTTGTAGACTAGGTGGTTTTAAACCATGTATCAGCATTTTTTTTTTTTCTAATAAGGATCAGATAGTAAATATTTTAGGCTTTGTAGGCTCAGAGATGAAATTGAGGCTATTGTATAAATACTTTAAGAGGCAACATTTTTTTCACAGAATTTTTATTGACAAATAGTTCAAAATGTAATATTCTTAATTAAGTAAAGTTTTCATAAGTCTAATAATGAGAAATATTGCATTCTTTTTGGAGGGAGACATTTCACTTCATTGTAACCCAAAGCTAATGTTCTTTATCATGAACTTGGTTGTAAATGTTAATTCATCAAGCCATTCTTATTTCACAGACGGTGAGCTGGATTTGGATCACAGGCTATACTGTGCCAACCCTGTTTTAGACAATGACATTTAAAAGTCATTTTTTCATTAGGCTTTGTTAAATGTTTTATTTGACAATAAGTTTCAGTTCTGTTCCATACTTTATTTGAACCCATGGCAACCTACAATGTAAAAAGTACTCACCAGGATGTGTGTGTGTGTGTGTGTGCGTGTGTGTGTTATATGTGTGGGGGCATGGGTGGTTTTATTCACCATTGCCAATGACATTTTGGGATATATTTGAGGTAGCAACACTATTACAATGAAACATTTTGTCTGCTTAGGTTAACAGATCAGAAAAGTGAAACAGGAAACTAGCCGTGGCAGGTCCAAATTTGGTCCGTTGGAGTACGTATTGGAATGACTTGGAATGTTCCCTGTTGTTGACTTTGAGTTGGCTATAATGGGTTCTGTTCATTAACGTCTGTTTCTACAAACTTTGCAAGGTTTGCGCTTTGGTTATAGCTTTGCTGTTGCTCAGCAACATTCCAAAATGTCTTAAGTCTTC